CTTCACTAGCACTGGGAGGGACGTTCCGGGAAGACACTGAGCCTACACAGATAGAGCTGCTGCCTTTCCAGGCATTTGTACAGGAAGTGAAGCATTTCAGGCTCCACTTGACTCATCAAGTGTTACTTGACAGTTGTAAAGCAACAATTTCCCTCCCAGAGCAAAAAAAAACACATGTAGCATCCCTTTGAGAAATGCCACAGCTGGACTCAGCTCTCTCCCTGCTTCCTAAGCCATGAACAGGAGAGGGCCTTGGGAGGGCAGTGCAGGCTGCTGCCCAGTAGGTCTGCAGACTCTGTGTGCAGGTAGGGTTTAACTGAACAACTTCTAACAAAAATGGAAGCTCTCCTAGTTTCTCATTCCTCAGAAGTAGGAAGGAGTTGTTACCAATGACTTTTTAGTTCAAAAAGCACTTACTGTGGCAGCAACCAGTAATTAAGGCCACAAACCAGTGGTGATGCTAATTCTTTAATGCCATTCAATCATATCCTGCTGAAAAAAGGCTGCTGTTCTTCTCCTGTCTAAGCTTTGGATTTGGTCTTTAAGGGTGAATCTGAGCATGAGTACAAATCCATTTAGCCAGTTGAACAAGATTTTCTCTTTCAATGATGGTAACAGTTTTCAACCCAGGCAGTACAGAAGCAAAGGAACTTCCAAGCTCAAGGCCTCACATTTAGCTGGTGGAAATCAGGGATAGCTTTTCAGCTGTGGGGGTGATATGTCAACTTAGGGCAACTCAGAACCTGGATCTTGGTCTCTAAATTGTCCACGTGGAAGTGATCGATTGTGAAGCCAGATCGATGACACAGTAAAGAGGTTACAAATCGGTGGAAATCACTACTGCTCTGATACAGGAGGAGGTTGTGTTACAGCTCAGTGACCACACTTAGAGTGTTGTGCATGTACGTGTTATCATCCACAGTTATGACCTATCTGTGACTGCTCTTGATGTGCTAAATCCTTCTGTCTGATGAGGTTCTTAGTTCAGAGGAAGCTTGTTCTGGTTACAGTATATGTCCTGACATGTGTCTCAGGCCTAAGCTTGCTGATTTTCAGATTCAAAAGCCAGACTGATTTATAGATTTGCAAACTAGTCATAACAAGCCAGTTTTTCTTAAAATAAAGCACATGCTGAAAGTGTTATTACTAGTATTTGAGCTATCATACACTTACATTTCCTCATATTGCAGAATGTTTCCATATAACCTGTCTTCTCTAAGTGCCCTGGGGATATGAGTAAGTGACATTAATGCTCCAGTCTCCATGGGATGAAGATGGGTAGGCAGCATCTTGCCCTCAGATTTTCTTCTTTTCAGTTTCCTCATGGAAACGTCCTCTCTTTTTGCAACTCGCTTTTTGGCCTGGTGTAGATGGAGGCCACTGTATCTGGCAGGTACAGCTGGAAGAATGGTCCGAGTGCAGCCTAGAGGAACTCTCTTTAAGTGTGAGGAAAAAGGTGTTTAACATTCAAAGTTCATTTCGTCCGCAGTTTGCCTGTAGACGCACCTGCTGCATTCACAGGCTTTTCCCCTTCTCTTTTAGTCTTGCTTCTCCTCCTGCTCCTCCTCCTTTTCTACTCTTTTGTCTCCCCATAGGCCAGAAAGAAAAGGAGGGTTGAGCATAGCTGCTTAATTAAATGATACAGCCCTTTGCCACCATGGCAGAAATGTATGCCAGGAGGATCTGCAGGCACAGGAAGCAGAGATCATCACTGCCCTGACACGGTTCCTTCATCTTCTTCCACGTGAAACCACTTTGCCTCTTCCCCATTCATCTCCATAACTTCTCTGCCAATGGAACACAACTGTATTTTCTCTGCATGGCTGAGGAGCTGTGAGTAGGTTCTGCTGCTGAGTACAGCAGTGTATCTTGGCTAAACATGTCATAGCTCACAAAACATCATATGTTTTCACTGACCACTGTAGATACCCTAAATAAAGTCCCTAGGTGCTTGGATTTGACTTGCAGAGCAGTTAATGCTGTCCCCTTGCAGCAATCAGGTGTGTCATGAAAGACTCTGAAGGCTTCTGTGAGAAATTCTTTGCCTTTAGACAGTTCAAATGCAGAGAAGTCCATCCCTGTTTGTGTCCAAAGTCCATGATTTTAGTTTCTGCTGGCTTTCCATCAGAAGCAGATGGAGGAAGGTGATGTGGTACCTATAGGACTAGGCTCATGCTGCCCATTCCATTCTTGTACTACAGCATATTAAAAAAATTTTGACTCGTCAGGCCAGAACTGACAGTTTTTAGAAGGTAGGAAAGTCGGAAGGCAGTCCTGCTGCTTTCATTATCAGCTTCCAGCAGGGGGAGATGAGCTTAGAGAGTTATTTCTTCCGGGAGCACACACCGAAAAACCCATGTTATTTATTTTGCTCATGAAGCTTTCTCCTAGCATCTGTGTGATTCTTGCTTGTTTGGACTTTTACACCCAGGCAACTTCTTCCTTTTACTTCTGTATGTTTTTAAAAGCAAATAAGACAAATTTCAATGTTTTCCCAAGGTTTACAAGACCCTCAGGGGAATTTAATCCTTATCCCTCTGTTTATTATGATGATGATTATTAAATAGTTATGCTAGAGTGGTTCTAATGAGGATTGCATAAATGTCTGAGAAGAGGAAGGCTTTGTTCTTATTTCCATTTCAGTGGAGAGGGGTCTCCAACTCTGCTGTGATGCAACTATGTTATTGGGAGGCATAGCCAACTGCAGTCCCACCTTAAGTCAGGGTGTCATGGGGGTCTGGGGATAGGATTCCTGCCTTCTCCCTCTCTGAACCCTCCTCTGTCACTGTCTATATAAAACATACCAGTGTCACTTTCCACGAAGTATATTTAACTAAGCATTAAATTTAGATTTAACTGGATAGTTATTGCCTCCTAAGTAAATACTCTGAGATAAGGAAATATTTAGTGAGCTCTAGCAGTTGGGTGGCAGATGCTTCTTGCATTACATAATAGTTAATCTTTGACAAATATGTTTTCCTTACTCCACTGGCATTTAATTTACATACAATAGTTCTTATTAAATGTAGATGGAACATATGTGGGAGGCCCTTGTAAAACAGATCCATGCAAAGTTTTGATTTGCAAAGAGGAGTGCTATCTAACTTCATATGGGGCTGGGGCTTGTACTCAAACTGTTGCAAGAGTCCAGAGGCATCTTCCTGATGCCCATCATACCATGCCTGGGATGCCACCAGGGTGATGGCACGTCTATCCCTTGTGCACAGGGCAGTGGCTCTGAGTCGCTCAGCAGCAGGGGCTTCTTCAGTTCTGTCTGCAGCAGCTCAGAAACACTCAGTGTGTGTGGATGAACTGCCAAGCCCTTTCTCCTTGCTCCCCTTCTCTGTTGCCATCCATACCAAGTCTCTTGTTGGGAACTATCTGCATCTGCTCACTCCCTTGGCTTGAATACAAAGCAGCCATCTCTTTTGCTACTGCTTGCATGACACTGGAGAAGTGGTGTCTTGACCTTAGCCCTTAATTTGTGGGCTTTTAACACATGCAGAGATTGTTTAAGCACCCACAGACAGCATAGCCTTTCCATACCAAGACTGCAGGGGTTGGTTCCTACGGGTTCAGAGAGGACTGGATGCATTCCTGGAAGAAGAAAATCAATAGAGGGCCATGAACTACAAAGACATTGCCACTGGCTTGGGACATGCCGTAGACACAGATCATTGGGAACTGGGGAAACGCTCAGGGGCAATCACTGCCTGCTCGTGATTGGCTCAGCAACAGGATGCAGGGCTGGCTGGACCTCTGCTCTGATCCTGAGCCTCCATTTGTATGGCAGGGGGTCACTGCTTGCGTCTCCCTAGTTTGGGTCTGACGTGCCCCCAGGAGTCTTCAAACTACCTCTCCCCTCCGTTTTGGCCGTAGAAGGGTTATGCTGGTCGAGCATTCCTAGGAGCCGTTCTCCATCCCTCCCTCCCTCACACACAGGGGAGCGGGATGGGGAAGCAGCAAGCCGGTGACGGCAGTAAGACACACGGCCGATTCCTCTCCATTAATTTCATCGGTTTGTTTCCTCTCACTCCGGTGCAGGGCCGTTGTGTGCTCCGGGAGCCTTCCCGGCGGGCAGCGCTACTGCAGGGCTCGGGGCTCAGCTGCGGCTGCTGGCACGCGGGGAGGACAGGCTGAGCATTCACACTGGCGGCAGCTCAATACCAGCATTGTCCGCCCTCCGTCCCTCAAAGGCTGGGAAAAGAGGGGGGGAGGGAGGGACCGAGCGAGCGGGGAGAGCTGGGAGGGAGGCGGAGGGAGCGATGTGCCACTGTTTGGGGAGAGAAAGTGTGAGAAGGGAAAAAGCGCTGCTTGGGGCTGCAGGGGTAGTTGCCAGCATTGCTCCTCCTCGTATCGGCGAGCTCAAAGCCAAGTTGTTTGCACTTTTGGCCGTGCTGCTTTGAACACGCAGCCCCCTTCTCGCAGTATTTACTCCTGTGACCGTTCACCGTATTGTCCTCCATCCTCCGAACCCCGCTCCTGGGGCCTCCTCCATCTGCCTCCCGCAGCCACCCCCGCCTGCCCTCAGCCTCGCCACCTCCCTTCCCGGCTCCCCCATTCCTCCTTCTTCTCTCCCATCCTGCCTCCATCCTCCCTTTCCCTCCTGTCCCCATCCTTCCTCCTTCCTCTTCCCAGTCTCCCAGCTCGCCATCGTCTTTCCCCTTCCCGGGCTCCCTCCGCTCACGCACACACACTCGCGCATCCCCGGCCAGTCCCATCGCGGAAGCCCGGTCCCGAGGATCAGAGGGGCTGAGGGCATGGGACCGGGGATGCAGCCGCTCCTCGCCGCTCCCTTCCCGCTCTCGCTCCAGCCGTGCGGCCGAGCCGCCGTCCTCATCTCACGAGTGCGGCTCCCTCCCTCCTCCTCCTCTCCAACCTCCTCCTCCTCTCCCTCCTCCCTCGCTCGCTCCGCCTGGGAAAGTGGGTTAGGAAGGGAGCTGGGAGCTGCACAGCCACGCACCGAAGCAGGACCGGCCAGGCGCGCAGCCGGCGGCACGGGAGCTGCGCTCTTTTTTTTTTTTTTTTTTCCCACCTTTCTCCATCGCTCCAGACGGGTTGATTTAATTGTTGCTGGGTTTTGCCGCCAGACTTTTGCGTCGTTTTGATCTGCCTTTCTGACACGCGCACGCTCCTCTTTTTTCCCTCTCTTTTCCTCCGCTGAAGGTTGTGCTCAGACTTTTTTTGGAAAGAGGGGGGGAAGAAACCGGCGAGAGACCGAAAAGAGCACAAGAAAGTGGCAGCTGAGGGCTGTGAAATCACCTCCCCTTTCCGGGGCTGTCTGTCAGACCGAGAGTTGTACATTATTATTACTGTTTTTCTTTCTCCATCCATCCATCCACCCATCCACATACACGCGCAGAGAGAGACGAGTGCAGGCAGCGAAACTCACCGAGACCAGCCATGGTAGCGAGGGCTCAGCCTGATCGGAAACAATTACCACTGGTCCTACTGAGATTGCTCTGCCTTCTCCCCACAGGGCTGCCAGTCCGCAGCGTGGATTTTACCCGCGGCACCGATAACATCACCGTGAGGCAGGGGGACACAGCCATCCTCAGGTAGGGCGTTCTGCCAACTTTTCCTTTTCCGTATGCATGTGTGTGCTGCCGTGCTTGCAATGCATAGATGTAATACTGTGTGCGTGCCTCTGTGAGTGTTATTTTGCCTCTCCGACTGCGGTAACGGCAGCTGCTGCAAGCAGGCTCCGCGTGTGTGTTTGTGCCTTCGTATCAAAACATTTGCAAAGCCTTTGAAAGCCTCTCGTAGTGCTCTGGATCAAAAGAATTTCAGCGGGGAAAGATGTGTTTGTGTGAGTCTGCTCTCGCCAGCGTGCGTTCGCCACCAGCCCAGCCGTATCAATGGAGAGAGCGAAAGGGATCCAGCTGTGCTTGCCAGATGTTCCGTTGATTATGCCGTGCCTCTTGTCGTACCTTTGCAAAAACTTTATCCCTGGTGCTGTGGGAGCTCTCGGACAAGTTGTTGCGGGAAACTCTGGCTTTTCATTTTATTTATTTATTTTCTGTGCCCGGAAGGGAGGGCAAATGGATACAGAAGTGGGAAGGATGGAGAATAAACAGCGGGAGAGCTTTGGTGTCCCCGCAGCTCACATCTCACTCACTGCGCTGGGTCTTTTGCAGGGCTCGGTGGGTGGGTGTTTGCTGTGCCTGAGCAGCTGGGAGGAGGAGGGTGTCTTTGCACACCAAGCCGTGTTTTGCTGGCAGTGTTGAGCACTGTATTTCCTTATCCGCTGTGTGGGTTTTCCAGCAGTAGTTCTGTGGCTTCGCGGGCTTTTGGTTCAGAGCGTCTCAAATAGCTGAAAGCTGCTCCTGTGGGTTTATTTTTCAAATTCTGCCTTGCTCAACTTACCTGCAGTAGGTTCCCTACCAAAGGAAAATGCTGTGTGTGTGCATGTGCTGTATATTATGGCTATAAAACTACTGGACGTAACATGAAATAAAGTCTGTAATCTGTGTGAGGAGCTGATAGTGCACAAACCCTGAAGCACCAAGGGAGCAATTCCCTAGCAAAGCGAGCAGCAGCCGCAAAGTTTTCTTTCTCTTCCTCTGAAATAAATCCGGCTGGATGCCACCAAACAGCCTGCAACGTGATCCTCTGTGCCCTGCATCCCTCCCAGTTAATGACAGAGGGTGTGTGAGCCAGCAAGATGGGATCGGGGACGGAGGATGCTAGGAGAGAGATGTATGTGTCTGTGTGTATCGCTTCCCTCAGCCCCCGTGTGCTGGCTTGTTTTGATCCTGGCATATCCGTGCACAGCTTCCATTCCCCAGCTCTCCAGACTTGTTAACTCGCGTGTAAGATTTATCCACACAGGGTAATAGGATTTACAGAGTAATTCATCTGCCTTGCATACGCGATGGAAGGGGTTTAGAGGCGACACGGTAAACACCTAACAAGGGGTGTTGCCTCTGACTCCGGGCTCCTCTCCTTTCCACTCAGTAGCAATTCGTATATCCCATTAACCCTTTTCTGGTGGAACTCTTGGCCGGCTCATCCCATTTTTTAAAGGCAAATCCCTTCCATCAATCCTTTGCCTTGGTCAGGCAGATGTTTGCTGGCGTATGTTTGGGACAGCAGCTGCAGACAAGTCATTAAGCTCACTTGCCCAGCCAGGGGTCACTGGATTTCCATTTCCCACTTAGCCTTGGAGCTCTGAAGTTTATCTAAACACTGTGTGCTGAGGCTGCGTTTGCTGCAGAACAAGCTGAAGGATGGTGGGGATGCTGCCTGCGTGTGTTGCCTGCAAAAAGTTCTGTCAGCAAGCCAAGCAGGGTGACAGGGAGTGTGCCTGGGAGAGTGGTTTTGGGGTACGTAGATGTGCACGGAGAGCGTGGCCTCCCAGTGTTAGGTCAGGCACTAAAATGCAACATCTGAATAATGAGATCCAGCTGTGTTAGCCAGATGTGTGCCATTGGTGGGAGCTGTGCACCTCCCAGCCCTGCAACTGCAGCACCAAGTAGTATGCTGCTCCTGGCAGGATGTGCTTCTGTCACAGGTCAGCATGAACAGTGACCTCCCCCACCTCTTTAAGCAGATCTCGTGTTTCTGAGGAAGGGAGGTTGTCTCCCTCCCTTTCCCCAGGACTAGCCCCATGTTTCTGGGACATTTTGGTCCTTGCTTCAGAGGAGGGGCTGCAGCCGGGAGATGGGATGTCAGGTTGCAAAGGGAGAGGGTTCCCTCTGCCTTGAGGTCCCGCACAATGACTTTCATTCCCTCAGTTTTAAAGTCAGACTCTGTTTGCTTGCTCCCCCCTCACTGTCTCCCCTGCCGCTCCAAAACATAACTCATCATGACAGCCTTGTGTTTGGAAAACTCCCAGCATCTCGCTCTCAGTGCCTACAGACCCACTGGTGACAACACAAGGGGAAGAGCCAGATGGGGAAAAACTATTAGATGGTCTGTTCTGACCATGCTCTGAGCAGATCTTTACTTCCACAGAGAGATAGGTAAGAGATTTCTGTACAGAGATCGTATCACCTCTTATATCTTTGTTACACATCTACTTCAGAGCGAGCATGCAGCAGCAGTTTACCAGTGCACAGTAGCTCCAGCCTCTAGCTTGAAAGGAAAATGTAGGAGGGAATGAAAATGGTATGCAGTTGGAGAGAATGGAAGGCAATGTACATAACGATAATATTAGTAAAAACATTCTGTTCCTCCAAATTGTGGCGCAGAACATTCAGCGTGGCATGGAAGACGGGGTATTCTCAGTGCATCTGCTCCTCGGGGGCCTTGCCCATTTGTTTATGCTGTTGCACTGGTAGGCGGAAGAATGGGCGGATGGACTAATCTATGAAGGGGAGAAAAATATTTTCCTATTGTAAGCCCTAATGTTCCTAAAGGAAGCCACTCCTCTGGAGCTTCATCTACAGCTTGTTAGAATGGAATTATTCTGGGAAGTTTGAGTATGACTTTTTAAAGCCATGGCATTTGAATATTCCCCTGCTACGCACATTAGAAAAATGTTCTGAACGCTATACTGGCTCATCTCCTAAATGACCTGGCACCAGGTTTGATTCATCTGTTGGCCTTGCTGAAGGTTGATGACTTTCAGCGATATTTTGGCATGGGGAAGTTAGTCAGGGAATTGCAGAGAGGGAGAATAAAAATAGCTTGTGATGGACTATCCACAGGGAAAAGGGTAATGATCGGCTCCTTGCAGTAAGACTGGAAAGGGAGGAGGGGGCTGAAAGGTGTAAGAGGTGAGAAGGGCTGAGCAGAGCTGCTGGGGTTTGTCTTCGACCAGGAAGATGGAATGGGATGTTTAGGAGACGATGCTGTGCATCAGAAGCTCTGTCAGATTTAAGAGTTCATTTTTAACTCTGTCTTCAGCAAGTAAAGGGGAACACTGAAACTTAATTTGAGTACTGAGAGGGAATCGTGTAATTCCTGCCAATGCAAGATCAATTTCTGCCTGCAAGATCACGGTCACGAGGTTTTCAGGTTTTGTATGCAACTTCCCTACTTGATGTTAAAAAAAATTGCCAAGCAACGAACACACAAAATATCCCCCACAATCAATTAAAACATGAAAAGAAAAACACAGCCCTTCTTTCTGTTTGCCCACTTCCACCTCATTTTTCCTGCACGTACTGAGTGAGCAAAGGCAGGGGCCCAGTGCTAGGGAGGGGATGAGAAACAGGAGGACAATCAGCTCAGCTGTGACACATGTGGTAGTGCAGGGAAGCTGCTGCAAGCTGAGGAAGCAGGAGACCGTGTCACTGTGTTACATTTGGCCTTTAGGTAGAGTTGCAAGCAATTTAGTGATGGAGTCTGTGCTGTATGATCACACCAGAGTACCTTTACAGCACTGTTCTGGGGCCATCAGCCGGGCTTGCAGCTTGCCCACTGCTTTTGGTAGTCATGGTACAGGGACTAGTTTGGCCTTTTATGTCTTCTGCAATGGGTCTCGTTGCTAGCTGGAAACAAAATGGGTCTCATTCCCATTCCCATCCATTCACTGATACCAGGAGAAATCCACCAGAGCCGAAGGGCACTGTCAGAAATACCTCCTTTGTCTTTGGGGCAGTTTCCTGGGGACTGCCAGTAAAAAGACACAAGTGACACAGGGCCTAAGCTGCCAGGTGCTTCTCAGGTGATGCTGAGCCCCATGGGGAGCTGGGCCCTGGCAGAATCTAGAATCTGGTTCATGGTGTTTGAGTTTTTCCAAGTGTCAGCTTTTTGTCAATCTGCTTCTGAGGCATTAATGAAAACTAACATTTAGCTAGGTGTCCAGTTTCCATTTTTACCAGGTAGGAGGCTTTAGGCTGACAGCATGTATGGGAGCTTTCATCCTAATGGGCAGTTTCTAAAAGTCCATGTGGCAGGATGGCCTGGCATTTGGTGACCAGCAGTGGCAGTGGCACTGTTTGTGTGATCCTGCGGTATGAGCAATTTCTGCTAACCCTGTTAGTGGCTGCCCTGTGTTTTGCTGATGTTCCACGTGTAGAGCTGTATGGAGGATAAAGGCACTTCAGACTAAGTAGCAGCACAGCATCACGACAAAGCTTATGCCCTATACATACGTTTTAAAATAAAAGGAAAAGCTCTTCAGATTATACTTATAATTAGCATATGATTTATAACAGGGAGCACCGAGTTGAGCCCTTTACTAGAAATGAGAATAGGCATGTTCAAAGGTATAATGCTACATAATAATACAGTCTCGGCGGTAAAATTGTAACCCTGCTTATTAGTGGTATTGTTGTGGCACTTAAGGCCACGGCTAAGTCAAGGCACCCTTTGTGTTAAGTGCTATGTGAGCAAAAGTGAGTCCCTGGCCATTAACTGGGATGGGCAGGGGATGGGGGAGAGGGGGAGGCCCAGGGTGACCGGCCTGGCCCCAGGGCGACAGCCCAGCAACATCTCCATTAGGCTCAGCCACACACTACAGCCCAGCAGATGTGACAAGCAAGGCTTCCCATGTGCATCCTGTTCTCTGGCATACAGTGCTGTTGTGATGTGTGCATGTCGAGAGGGCGTGTTGGGGTCTGTGCGAAAGGGTCCACACTTAGCTGATACTTTCCTTCAAAAAAAAAAA